GTACAGAAGGCACTAATTTATACCAACAACTCTTTTCTGTAAAACCTTGGCAGGTGAAATACTAACGAAACAAAGCAGTGTGCACATTGTATTTGCTTTTTTGTTTGTTCATTTGTTTGTTTCTATGTTTGGGATTTTATCCCAAATCTTGTTCATTTTTTTTTTAAACATGTGATTTATGTGGAGTCCTTGGGGTTCTCTGAGCCTGGTTCTTTTCTTGCAAATGTTTCATTACCCGGCTAGGTGACATCACTGAAGATGTTAGCTAGCCAGGTAATGAAACGTTTGCAAGAAAACAACCAAGCTCAGAGAACCCCAAGGACTCCACATAAATCACATGTTTAAAAAAAAAATGAACAAGATTTGGGATAAAATCCCAAACATAGAAACAAACAAATGAACAAACAAAAAAGCAAATACAATGTGCACACTGCTTTGTTTCGTTAGTATTTCACCTGCCAAGGTTTTACAGAAAAGAGTTGTTGGTATAAATTAGTGCCTTCTGTACTGCTTTTTGGAGCACTTGATACTGTGCATGGACTAAGCCCCATTTGATTCTTTTGTTCTCCTCTATAACATCTCCTCTCAGGAGCATAACTGGGCATCAATCCCCCTCTTTGTTTATGCAACCCCAGGGTGGCATTCCATGTTTTGTGTCCATTAACAGAAAAGATACCTTTCTGGAAAGGATCCCTCCTTCTCTCATGCAACCTTCCCAATAACTCTGAATTTAACCTAGTGACTTGTGGGACCCTCAGAGCAGTTTGGGGCAGGGGAGTTAAATAGGCAGGGAGAAGAAGAAATTCTGTTGTATGCGCTTAAGTCCTTTCATGTGATGTTGGACTGTACTCCTGAATTTTTTAAACACTGGGTTTGTTCACTAACTGCATCAGAAAAAGAGTAATTTGTGGTTATTAATACAGAGTTAGCAATCTGATCTCTGGTACAATAAAAATAGTAACACTCTGTTATTTGTCAATACAAAGAGGCAGTATTAAAAAGCACCCTGTCAAACACAACAGATGTTTGGTGCGTGAGAAGGGATTCTGGCACCTTCCATTCTTACTAAAATGTCCAATTATTGGGCTAGTAACAAATATGAGACAGAAACTATTCTTCATCCCAAAGCATCCCTTTATTTTGTGCCCATAAAGGAGAAGATAAAAGGTATAAAGATGGAGCAGTTAATGCATGCAGTTGATGAAGATTTACCATTTATTTTTAGTATTAATAATACCTTTATCCTCTCATTTTCCCAAAAAGCTAAGAGTGACATCCACCCTTCCATTTATTCTAACAACGAAGCAGAGGATGGAGTTAAATTACTTTTGTTCCTCTAAGCTTCAACAGGTGGCAGCAGCTAACCAATCTTGGCTGACCTAGAAAGCTAAGTAGGGTTACTCCTGGTTGGATGTTTCTAGTGTAAATCCCCAGGGGTTGAGCTCACTTCAAAGTCAGCTTTTCCCCCATTCTAAATCCAATCTGCTTATTAATATTCTGTAGTAGATTATTGAACTACCTCTTCAGTGTAAACCTGGGAAAGGTAAGCCTTAAAATTATTTTGTCAGACACATAGTGAGCTATGGGATTCTGTGACTGTTAATTCAGAAAAAGGTAGGTCTGTTTGCAGTAGATTTGGGTTGGGCAACCTGAGATCCTGCCCTGGACTGCTTTAAAAAACAAAACACCCACTTTCTCTCCCATTGCTGAAACTCGGGGAAAAATCAAATCAAATCAAAAGCTCAGCCCTGGGCATGTGTGACATGGCTCTACCCAACCTGTATGTCATTCCACCCACTGCACTAATGTTAAATATCACCTGCATACAGACAATAGATCAATAGATTTCTATAGTTAATCGTCTCTCTAATAAACTATTCAATTGACTATGATACATCTGAATATTCTATTTCTATTCAACTGATCAAAATTATTTTTTCAGACCTCAGAAATCTCTCTTCCGACCCTGCTGAACCATTTGATACAACAGATTGTGCAACATTATTGATCAGAGCCATAGTGGTGGTGTTAATCTTTCATAGTTGCTAAAGCATTTGCTTTGCACAAATTAATAATGGTGAAAAAATACCTGTTTATTTGTGTAAGTAATTTTTAAAAATTCTGTACAAATGTCAAATGTTGGCAAACCATCTTTCTCTTGTTTTGACTTTTTGTTTTTACAGCTATTGAACAAGAAAAACAAAGCAAAAATACACCTTGAAGTTGGATCAGAAGATATGGCTAACATCTCCTGCTATGGGGTTTTAAGTTCTATGTTTTTAAAATCTGTTATTAGCTGGTGTGCTCTGCTTTTTCAGAAATAGCACTTTTTTACTTTACTTTTTTTTTTCCTTTACTGAAACAGCAAGGGTCTTCTAATTTAAAGCAATGCTCTGAAGCCAATCAAAATGCCATTTATAATTTCCCAAAGACACTACATATTGTGTATCCAATATATATGTGAATTTGCCAAAAATGTATACTTTTGTTGTTTGTCAACAGAAACTATTATTTTCATATAATATCTGATATGGAACCCCATAATAAATCAGTTTCTGATCTGTTGCCCTTGTTTAAAATTACATTTTCTGATGGAAAAAGAGCTGTACATCTTGATCAAAAAGTCTGTCTGTAAACATTCTTAATAATAAGGTGTAATTTCAGGCCACAGCTAAATATGTTTTTGTCCATATCAGGCACACTCACACAACAAAAAATGTTTGGAGATCATCAGGATAATGTTACTTATAAGTAAACATATAATGAATTAATTAGATTAAGGTTATTCTGTGTAAAAACTAATCAAAAGAAATGGTAAAATTATATTTCTTTTCTTTTCCAATTTTTTCCAAAATGGAAGTTTTGAATGCACCCGCACGGTCAAATAGCTATTTCATCCTGATCTGAAAATGGAATATGTATTGTTCCACAAGACAAGGTTAAATACCAATTGACCACACAGGAGCATATTTATCCTTGTAAGTATCAATATCAAGCCACTATTTCCAGATTAAGGACCACTTGCATGGATCTTAATCCATATGTCATTCTTATAGAAAAATGAAACTCAGTATTTTGATCTTCTCTGATGACCCATCCCTAGTTTGCTTATTAGACAGCTGCCCTGCAGTGTCCAATGAGCTGGATATTGGGATTCCAAGCAGTCCAAAAGCTACACTTTGAATCTCAAAGTTAAACTAGTGAACTAGAGTTCATTGGAGTTGGGTGGCTAATAAATTCAAATAAACTCTAACAATAAATGATATTAGCACAAGACAAATAGCTTCAAAAGCTGAGGCAGTTTCGTGGACAACAAGCTATAAAAGAAGCATTGTGTTTGTGAATGATCATTACTGGGAAATGACAGTGGGCATAAACTCTCCTCCTCCTTCTCCATTTATGTGTCTTCTAAGGGCATCTCTTTAGCTACTGTAAGAAACTAGATAACCCTTTCAGCTGATCCAGCTAGACCCTGTTTTTTTCTTTTTCCCCTAATGCAATCATAAAAGTCCTAGTGTGAAATATATTTGGGGTGAGGGAAGAGCTTGAATTTGCAGTATGACTTTTTTTTCACTAGAGGGTACTTTTCCATCATTGTACTGTATAAGAAGCATCTGGTTCAGGCATCGAGCTAGAAACCAGGAGCCTGTGAGTTCTAGTCCTGCCTTAGGCACGAGGCCAGCTGGGTGACCTTGAGCCAGTCACTCTCTCTCTCAGCCCTAGGAAGGAGGAACTCGCTTCTGGAAAGCCATTCTGAAAAATGCTGCCAAGAAAACTGCAGGGTACAGTCGCCAGAAGTCAAAAATGACTTGAAGGCAAAACTTTTAAATTTTATTGTAGAAGCTGGAAACAGAAATATGTTCAGCAAAGAGTGAATATTTGTTTCCATAGTAAATAGGGCAATAGAACCTGATCTAGTGGCTAAGAACTTGGCTGGCAGAATGTGACCTTTCAATAAAAATGAAATATGTCTTGAATTTAAAAACCTTCATTTTTAAAATTGTGGATACGGTTCAGGGAAAGAACTTTGTATGAAACAAGTAACATGAGTTCTTTGATCAAAAGCTTTGTTTTTAACATCCAGAGATGGGTTTCCCAGGTTGTTATACTCTGATTAAGATGCAAGGGTTGAGGTTAGCTTGCACACAAGTTCTCCCTCTAGTGTAAAAATACACAGTTTTGATATGGCATTAAGGCATCTAGATCATACCAGAAGAAAGATTGCTAGAATAATAAATATAAGGACTATGTGTGTATCTAACTGAGTGAAAGAATAATAAATATAAGGACTACGTATGTATCTAATTGAGTAAAAGAATCAAAGTAATTTCTTAAGAATAGGATACTTATGATCATACTCCCGAAAATAACAAACATTACCATTTTTTTAAAAATTACCTTTATGTTTACTTTTTAAAGCACATTTTATTTTATCTAAATCTACTACTATTAATACACTCTTGAGCATTGCTGCTGCAAAGATGCCTGGTAGGTGGCTTTTAAAAGAAGCAGTTGTGAGTTAGGAAATGCTACATGCAATACGTTTAGATACAATCAAGTTCAGAAACATATTAAATAGAGCAATTTCTAAAAATACTAAATAGACCATTTCTAAGAAATGGACTTCAAACGCTTTCTTCCACCACAATCATGGAATATGCTTGAAAAGTAAGTCCAAGAGTCCCAACGCAAGACCACTTACCCTCGCAGACCATGCACGGCTCAGGCACATGGAAGCTGCAAGACACATGTAACTGCATATTTATCTGTGTGTAAACTTATTTATATTCTTTCAGTCCAGCAAATAAGGCCAATGAGCAAACAGAACTGAGCCACAATCTCACAATCTTTTGAAATTCAGCAAAATTTGAAATTAAAGTTTCAATATTTTTCTATTTCACTTTTAAAATCCCACCAAATGATACTTCAAATAAATTTTGAGAAATAAACATTATGCATTGTTGAATATGTCTTAGATAATAGTATCGACCTGCATTGCTACATGCATGAATCAGGATGTTGTCGAAATAAGGATCAATCTTAACATTTCAAAGAAATCAAAGCTTTGAAAATGTGCTGTCCTCCCTAAAATTTGTTTCCTCTCTAGCTTATAAAGCACCACATGTTAGATCTGTCCTCCAGTTAGTTGCTAATTTTTTTCCGCAGTCAAATATTCAAGATGCATATAGGAATCATGTGAACACTAGGAAAAGCTTCTCGCATTCCTCTGAAGATTAAAATTGTGCATTACTGTATCTATGTTGATATGTGGTTCTTGGAGAAGGTTAACACTAAATCCAACACAAGATCACTCAACTAATGCACCTTCCTCAGCAAAGGTACTTGGAAGAATATGGAGTACTTGTTATGAGCTGAAATACTATGCTAGGCTCTTTTTCAGTGGGAAAGGGATTCATCATTTGCATTTACAGTAGTTAGGTTTAGTCCCTCGGATTTCCAGGGAAGACTGGAAACAAAAATCCTGCTAGAAACTTTGGAGAGCCATTGTAATAACAATACATTTTTGTTTTCTTTTGTTCATAATGAAAAGCTGAAAGAAATTATTTTATTTTATATTTTATTTTATTTTCATTCTGGAAGGAAAATGTTTCCTTTCATCTGGATGTTCCATTTCAGATATGCATATTAAGGTTATATTAAGGATACTTCAATCTGCAGGCCATTTACCTGCCTATTGCAAACTTCAAAGAAAAGGAGAGGATGTTCATTTTTCCTTTGAGAAAGAATGGAAAGAGATTGAGGTTGGGGTGTGGGAGAGCACCAGCAGCTCTAGGGCACAGGGCTGATATGTCTGAAAACATAAAGAGTTGTCCTTTGCCTTGTGTGAATAAGAATATTCTTAGCTTAGCATTAGCAATGCCCTGTCTAGGCTGATGGCTATCTGGCCCTAGGCTACAGACTAATACCCACCAGACGCCCTGGTATGATGAATGTTTAACATAATTCAATTTGCACACTAGATACGTCTTATCACAAAGCTTCAGTCCATCCCCAAAGCTTCAACCCAAAGCTGCAAATTCCTGTAGATAACATTTCCATAGAACACATCTGCAGGGACAGCATATATTATCCGCTGCCAAAATAAAGCATCTTCAGGGACAGCATATATTATCCCCTGCCAAAATAAACAAAACCAGTCACATGCCATGGAACTTAAGACATTTAAGTGTATGACTATATTAAAGTTATAGGCTGAAGTCAGATTAGCACTTAACAGAATTCTCTTTGCATGGAGGACAATAATGGGGAGGCAAGATAGTTCACTGTCCTTGCAGCTCCACCTGCCTCCTGAAGAAAAAAACCAATGAAAACTGTGTTGCCTACTACCTTTTGTCCAAAGAATGGCCCAACTGAATTCAGCCTGTTTGAGAAAATTATTCATGTTGCTTTTTGATCAAATGTAAAGACAGAAGAATACTTTTTGGGACAGAAACAGAAATATCCTGAAAACTTGTCCTTTCTGAATGATTTTGACAACTATAGTTATCATAGGCAGACCTTCTTCAGGATGATTTGTCCTCAGCTTGGCTCTTGAGGTCTCTCAATGGTGCACCCATCAGCACTCAAATTGAGTCCATCCACCTCACTGCTGGTCATCCTCTTCTTTATCCAGCATTATAGAGTTCTCCAGGGAGCTGATCTTTGCATAATGTGTCCAAAATATTATATTATATTATATTATATTATATTATATTATATTATATTATATTAGCCAGGTAATTTGTATCTAACATAAGAACTTTGGAATCATTTGTTCTATTTGACCCATATGTTTGTTTTCTTGTCTATACATGGTATTCTCAAGAGTCTACTCCAACACCAAAGTTAAAAAGCATCAATACCCTGTTATTCTGCTTTTTCAAAGCCCAACTTTTATATTTATAGACTATGCACAATTTTGATCTTTGTAGGTACAGACATGTCATGGGCATCTGAGTATCTTTTCCAAGGCCTTCATTGCTATCTTACCTAGTGCTAGTCTGTAGTTTATTTCTTCACTGCTGGTTCCTTTACTGTTGATAGTCAATCCTAAAAAGCAGAAGCTATCTAGCACTTCAATATATTCACTGTCGGTTCTAAGGCTGGTTATTGTAGCTGTTGTCTTCTTGATATTTAATCTTAGTCTCTTTTTTCACTGTGCTCCTTGACTTTAATTACAACAGCTTTAAGATAATTTGCATTTTCAGCTATCAAAGTAGT